CCTTGAAAACTGCAAGGACTCGTCCAAGCAGTCACTGCAGAGTCGGTAACGACTGAGCACAGATTAAAAAAAAAAAAGACAAATAAATCATCTTAATAGTTTGTAGTTTTTCGTAGAAACAAGCCAGATGATTCAGTGTCAGGAATTGTGACTCATCATTGTCAATTCTTGGTCCATTTTTTCCTCGCATCCTTACTGATATATATGTTATGTGCATACCTGGTTCAGGTATGAACACGTTTTATTGTAGGTAGCATGAACTTTTGTGAATTAAATGGTCTCTACACTCTGGTTTTTGTTCTTCCAGCTGATTATTCTAGAGTAATACTCAGTTCTTATAATCTGGACTGGATTCCATTTCCCGTTTCAAACATCAATTTTTAAGTCAATTTTGTTATTTAAATCAGAATTTTTGTTCAGGGGAATTATCAGAGTTCTGCCTGTCCTTATGGAAGAATGACATCTTGTCTGATTTTTTGCTATGTTTTGTGTATCCGGTCTTTTCTTTAGGTCATGATATTAATGGAGCACTTGAACCATCGAACATTGACACCAGCATCCTGGAAGAATACATTGGTAAAGAGGACTCACAAGATATGTAAGTGTCTTTTTTTTTTTTTCATTTGTATTCTTAATAGTCAGTGATGCTGTTTGATCCAGTGAGAGTGGTAATGATGGTTGCACATGAGGTTATGGTGATGTGAGCTGCCATTTTCTTCATCTTTTGCCTCCATTCTTTTCAGTACTTCCACATATTTTCCTGAAGATGGAATATGACATGTTTTGCTTTTGGCTTTCCTTCATGTTTGAATCTACCCACTGAGGTTTAGTTTGATGTGCAGATCAGGCCAAAATGCTTGTTCAAGAAACCATGGTTAAAAATCCTGGGTTGGCATTATAGTTGAATCCAACTAGGCATATGGTTAGAAATGGATACAATCTATATGGTATCTTAGGATTGTAAGATGCACATATTATACAAGTTGTTCAACTTTTCTCCTTCAGCTCTGATTTAGATTCCATCTCTGACATCCCAGTTTCAGCTGGTTATCCTCATACTCAGCCTTCCAGCTCCACCACTGTCAATGCATCTGTCTCCAGTGTTGGTCATGTAATTACTCCTGTACCCAGTGGTAATTTCCATCATGGTCCCCCAAGCACTCAAGTCCCAGTCCGTCATGGTCTCCATCCTGGTCCTCCAAGCAGTCAAGTTCCATTACGTCATGGTCCCCCCCTGCCAAATCCATGTGGGTCCAGTTACAGTGCTCATCTCAACTGCAATAACAACAATGGCATGGTAGTACCCAAAGGGTACCTCAGTGGCCACTGTCTATCCAACATTGCCCCTCCAATCAAATCAGAAGCCTCCTACACATCTGGGTAAGTAAGGGATTGTGGTTATGCGAAGATAAGGTTTCAGAGCCTTACAATGAGGTTATATTTGAACAATTCTGCAAATTCTCTTATCAAGCAATGCCATCTTAGTCTTAAAACACAACAGTTTTCATCAGATTCTCTTATATTTTATTTATTTGTATTATTAGACACTTTGAATACCTACCTAACCCCTGTAATGTAGTTTTTTAAAGGTAGTTAAGGTTAGGGTAGAAATGTGAAATGTGCATTTTGAATAACAACAGCAGTCCCACAGGAAGCTGGTCTTCTGGTGGCAAAATGGTAGCTGCTAATTACGGGAGGAATTGGCTTTCAGTCAACGGTAGAGCACTAAATTCACATTTAAAAGATCCATTGGTTTGTTCTCTGGTATCTCTAGGGGGCTCTAGGGAAATCCCCCCTGGAGTCCTGGGGGGCTGCTGTCAGTTAGCACCAACAGTCTTGGATTGGAATAGATGAACAACTAGTCAACAGCTAATTAGATGAACATATACTAACCCCAGTGTATATTCTAAAAGAAGCAGGACTTGAGTAGATTAAAGGAGAACAAAGGGGTCTGAAATAACAAGCACAAATGCAAAAATGCAAAATGTAAATCCAGAATTCCACATAATTATTCTGCCTATTATTTGTATCATTGAGTTGATTTTAGTTTGACTACTGGAACTTGGTCAGCTTGGAATATACAGAATGTGGTTTTTAGGCACTTTTAGAGGATGCAGGGGGATGGGATGGGGAGACTGAAAAAAATATGCATGACTCTGTCTTGTGGAATTGAACCAGATCATATCTGGGTGTACATTATAAATCCTTTTGACTCATAGTGGAATCCAAATCAAATTTCATTTTCCTTATAACAGAGGTGGGATATGTCGTTTCAGTGGAAAAGGGAATATTAAAAGATTTAAAGGAATTATGCATTTCCCGACTTCTGCAAAAGAGAGTTGGGACAGAGAAGGAATTCAGCTCTAGTAAATGTTCATTGAGTGTTCGTTGCTACAGTACTGCAGTTTGATAGGGATGCGTGAAAATGATGCTGAAGTTGAAAACCGAAAAGGCAGTATTGTGGTAGGCAGGGAATAAATAGCTATAATATGATAGAGGAATTTGCCAGAAAAAAAAGTGAAACAAAGATGACCAGCAACTCAGATTTCTTGCAGAAACCATTAAACTTATAGTCAGCTACATAGTGGCTTAGCAATGCTTTCTAGCTGTTGACAGAATGATCCCACAGAACATTTATGGATATTCTAATCTGCTAAAGAACAGTGAGTCACAGAATGTTAACCATGCAGTTGGTGAGATTGGAGCAGAAGGTTAGTTAGGCTTGGGTTGACTCCTACACAAGAGTTAAAAATTGGAAGATGGGCTTGAGAAAGTAGATTGATCTGCACTTTACTTTCTAACTTGAAATAATGCCTTGTTTTGGTGTTTTATACAAAATACACCATAAGACCTTTCTTATCTTAGACTGGCAGGATTGTGGTTTTGTATTTGTGTGGGGTTTTTTTTTTTTTTTGGCATCAAATAAGAGGAAATGTATTTATCACCTATAAGGAGTGCCCCTTATTCCAGTGTGTCCCCTTAATTCACATCCAGGGTTGCCAGTGTGGCACCTGCGGGCACTATGACATCCACAACACCACTAGATGGCACCCACACACCCCAAAACTAAAAAAAAAAAAAGGCTGAAATCTCATGAGATTTTGACCATTTCCAATCTTTAATTGTTCAGAGATAACCAACCAGCAAAAACAGAGTTTTTTTTCAGACACATAAATGCGGACAGACAAGTCAATATATTTTGTCTTGATTTTCAAAACATGCATGTTCAGATAAGATTAGGTCTACCCCATGTAACTTTTCAAATCAGGAACTCATGGATCATCCATCTGGTCCATAAAGGCCATGCAGAGAGAAATGAAATCAAGAGAACAGCATAGATCTGGGGTACCCAGTAAGACACTCACTTGCCAGGTTGTCTAGCTGGACTAATTACATTTCAAAATGTTTTTTAATTTTTTAAAAAATGAGAAGCTAGCATATGGCTACAAAGCGAAAGCCAGCCTTCAGCATCATCTTTCTTTCCATGAATACGTCTAGACCTCACATATGCAGTGGCAGCCCTAGATAGCTGCTAGCAACGATTGTCCTAGGCAAACCATGCAGTTGCTGTCCCCATCCATAAACCTCAAGGTCAGCTTTGATTTCTTTTTCTTGAAATTTGGTGCCATATTTAACTTGGTACCCTAGATGAATGCTGAGTTCACCTATATGGACCTTAAGAATCTTTTAAAAATAAAAAATGATGGGTGGTTGTAGATCAATGTTTTGTTTGAAAGTATACCCATCTGTAGAAAAAACAAGAAAGTAGGCAGGGTAGTATGGAGTACCTTATTAGGGGCAAGTAACATTCTGATAAATCAGTACTTAGAAATTGACTATATCTTCCATGGCAGCCTTTTTGTGAATTGATAAGTTCTCCCCATTTTGCAAGAGTTCTCAGAATTCCAAAAAGCTCAGCAGCCCAAAATGTTTGAGAATATAGGTGCTTCAAGGTGAGCAGAATCACAAAACATTCACAACTTTGATGGCTGAGAAGCAAAGGAATCTGCTTCAGTAGCTTCATTAGAAGCATAAAGCAACTGCACTATTTGAAAAGGAAGGGAAGATATGAAGTCTGTTTCTTCTAGATTTCCAAGTTTTGACTGGAGTTTCTGCTAATTCATAAAAATAGTCACCTTCTGACTCCACTCAAAGCATTTGAGCTACGATCAAGCTTATTTTAATAATGTAAATTTTAAGCCTGATCCTTGGAGGAGCCTGGATGAAGTCTTGGCTGCAATTAGCTATGAAAGAATGTAACTTGTAGGATCTCTTTTTGCAAGGATTGTGGTATGTTCCTTGTCTGTATCTAATTGTCACTAAAAAGAAGATATGTCATCATTAGGAAGAAGATTGCCTTTGCCTGGGGTCCTGGGGACAGAACAAATTTCCCCTGTGCTACCTGTCTGTCATCAATTTTTAATTTGTGCCTATAGCCTCACTTTCTTGTCTTCTATCTCAAATTAAGATGTACTTCAATTTGCATGTTAATTGTTTCACTGTCCTGACCAAGCTTTCTCATTCTTTTATTAAACCAAACTTAAATATTTTCTGTGTCTTAAATCATTCTGCTGTAACACGTATTCTTCTCTACTTTCATTTTCATCTTCAAGTTCTTTGTTCAGAACATCTTACCTGTTTTTGTTTCTGGTGTTTCTTTGAATATCTGTCATTAGTTTACTTCTGATATTATGCAATCTTTTTACCTTTGTTCATTTAATGTTATTATTTCATTTTTGCATCTTTTAAAATAAATTGTAAACTTCTTTGTTTTTCCACATAAATATCCAAGATGCATATCAAACCTATACACAACTACAAAAACTGAAAACAAAAAATCAGCGGCGGATTCAGCGTCTCTTGGACAGTTCATCATAAGTGTTCAGTTATAATGGCTCAAAATCTATCATGTATAGTTCCGTGTTCCTTGTAAATTTTTGTTTCTCAGAAATAAAGGATCCACATCTTATCCACATCTTTCCAGAACTTTTCCTGGGAGGCAGGAGGAATTAAGGAAGAAGAATAGCTATTGGCAAATTGGATAAAGAAGCTCCATTGTTCAAAAAAGTTTCTGATTTACTTAGTGTTTTCAAATTATGTATTGATTTGTCTGTTCATACAATGGTCCACACACATTTTATCCGAACACAGACAGAGTGATCTTCTGCTAACTTCCCATATTTTCTGCTCACCATACCTACCTCTAACAAAAATAATCTGATAAAGGCTTTACTTACTAAAGTCTCATTAGGACCTTGAAATACAAACAGAAATAGAAGTGTATTATTGTGTATGATAAATTATCCATTTGTTTCTGATTTGGTGTGAAAAACTTGGGACTAGGAAGTTCTAATTTTATTAAAATATAGCCACATTTGAATATAATTCCTTTTTATTTGTCGCCCCTACTTTTTGCACCTTGATGCTGGTAGTTAATAGATCTTTGTTTTTCTTAGTGTTTATATAAAAATTTACTTCTCCCATTCCTTTTCTCTTACATCTAGTCTGTTGCCAAAACCCCCGAAAACCATTTTTTAATTTTGGTCTCAATTTTAATTTATGTCTTAGATCTGTCTCCTGTTGTATGCTGCAAATTTGTCAGCATTGGTTATCTTTAGGATGTTGTTCCTCTTCAGTCACCCCAAAATATTGCATAGTATCTTCACTCAACTCAAGATCTTTCTTAACTCTCTCGTCACATTTCCACAATGCATTAAAGTTTTTGAACTGAGTTCTGCTTTTTTTTACGTGACCATCAATCTCATCCTTATTTTGCAGAAGTTCTATCATCCTGTATATTAGAACTGAAGGAATTAAAATAGATTTTTGTCTTATTTTCTCTGTCTTATTTTGTTACTCTTTCTGCGCTGTGTCAACGTATTTACTGTCACTCCAGACATTGTTCCCTTTCTTCAATCCCAGGAACACACCTTCTGAAACATTGTGCCTTGTACCTATAATTATCTTTCTGTTCTGCTTCTTCCATTCGGTTCTCACCTCTAATGCCTATCTCCAAACTCTAGTCTTTGTAGAGATCCTAGTCTTAGTTGTTCTGTAGCTTCTTTTAGTGTTTAGACTTTTCCTCTAAATTTCTTTGCCACTCATTCATTGAAAGCTAGTGTTTTTTCTTCTCTGTTTCTCTGTGGTCATCACAGAAAGTAAAGACTGTAAACTTCTATGCAGATGGTTAGGTCTGCTGACTTTAAATGTTTAAATGAATTGTGGCTAAAAACCTGGCTGCTCCATGCATTTTAATAATCTGAACGTAATTGTGAAAAATCTGTAAACTGTTTCTGGATAGATAGAGTACAGTGAGTGGTAGAAGGAATTGAAATTATGTTCTGTAGTTTTATGAGAGAGCTTTAGGTTCTGAAAGATGACCTACTGTATAATATTTTAAGGAAACACTTTCTGGGGTAGAAGAAAACAAATACAAAAGTCACACAGTAGCACAGCCAGGATTGTCAACTGATGATTAGATACTGTACTGTTTTAGTGAGCTCCTCTTCAGACAATTATCCTGATTATCCCACACAACAGGGAAATTCAGGGTTGTCCTGAACTGACTTCCCATTAACTCATTTTCTACTTGGGTTTACTACATTTTCTTTTGTACCTCTTCACTTTCAACTGGCTTACTTCTGTTTACTTGACTTTGCCATTCAGTATTGATAGCAGTTGTTATCAGCTACTGAAAGGTATGTATAGAATCAGACTGTTAGGCTGGGACTGACCTCACTGACCTGTTAGAAACTTGCAGGACTGCCTTATGGAAGGAATGGATTTGCTTTGAAATCCACCAAGATCTATTCTTAATTTTGAAGAATTCATTTTGAATTTTGCTTTAGAAATGATATTTATTGAAAATATTCCACAGTTTGAACTAAATCCAAAAGAACCTAAATAATTTCCTACTCTGTTTACTAGTCTGCAAAGTTCTGTGGAGACCATTGAGCTAATACAAATAAATTAATAAAACTATACTGAAAGATACTTAGTAGTTTAAAAGAAATTATAAACTTTGGCCCTTTTCTTGAGCCCAATAGATTTTTCTGTTTTATATCAGTTTTGGTCTTGTGTGTAGATTCCCCCTTGTACTTTTAAAATTTTGTATTGTGGTATTTAATATACAAACATAAAAAAAGAATAACAATATGCAAAATTAAAAGAAAAGGGGAAAAAAGCACAAATAAAAATGAACCAGAAAGAAAGAAAAATACATGCTGGAATAAATATAAATAATAAAAAAAAAAAAACAACAGTTTAAACCGAGACCATACAGAGTAATATTGATTAGAGTTTACAAAATGTCAACAGAATGCCACTTCACAGGTAGAAACTGAATATATGCCTTCCATTCAGGTTTTTAAATTAAATGTAATAATTTTTCACCTGGGGTAAAATAATCTGTTTAGCTATATCCCACTTGTGG